GGTGGCCGAGGGGAGGGGTGTGTGGAGAGAGCAGGTAGCTGGTACCGCGTTGAGGAGGGGCTTGGCCTCCCTTCTCTTCACTGTGTCCCTTGTTCTGTTTTCAGTCTTTAGCCTGTGTAGCCTGGTTTTATTATTGGTCATAGATGGGTTGGTCCAGAGCGTTAGAGGATGTAGCAGAAGGCAAGATGGCGGAGGGAGGGGGGCGCCCCGTCCGGGATGGTTGGAGAATGTGGAGTCCATGGAGAACAGGGCTGTTTGACCTTGCCCTGTGAGGGGCTCACAGGCTCTGAGAGCTCGCACGGTTAGCTTGATCGCATCCCCATTATGCCCCTTAAGAGGTGTTCCCAGCTGCCCTTGGCCACCAGTCAGTCCTCCTGACTAAGTTTCCCGTGCCGCTGAGGCTGCAGTTGGCCGAGAGACAGCGTGGGAAACCCAGCAGCCACCCTCCCTGACCCCCAGAGCCTCTTCCCCTCATCAACCTCGTGTGGACTTTGAGAAATGTTTCCTGTTGAGTTTGGGATCATTACTGGTTGAAGAGGGGGCAGGTTCCTGTCCCCAGGGTGTTAACTGGGGCAAGCAGCCTCTGCAGCTCAGGTTGGAGAACTTCCTAGAAACCAGAAAGCTTTCTCTCCCAGAAAGAGGTGGGGCTCTGGCAGAGAGGTGGGGCCTGTCCTCCTGAATCCCCCCGCCCCCCGCCCTCCAGCTTCCGGGAAATGAGTTGGTGGCCTCTGCTCACTGGTGGGTGGCCACGCAGGTGGCCTCTTCTCCAGGTGCCTGCTTGTCTTTCAGACCTTCAGCGGATGGCGTGTGGGGCAAAGTGGTGGGTGTTGCCTCGATGGTCACATGGCAGGAGGATGTTCTGAGCTTTGTGCCAGGCCTAGATGGTGGTCACTTCACAGCGTGTCAGGAGAAATCAGTGTCACACGATTCCAATGAACTTTGTGCTTTTTGGGGGGAATCATTTTTTTTTATTTCGAATAACTAAACATGAATTTTTTTGAATGTAGCCCCTGGGCGGTGAATGGAATTTTGAGTTTCTTATACAATGAGTAAAATTAAATTTATCTCACTGAGGGAAAGACTCTGACCGAAGTGTGGCAAAAAGCACTTTAATTTCATGCTGCTAACTTTGTTCCCTGTCTTTGCGTTCATTTGCTGGAGTGTGAGACGTGCTTGACACAGTGAGTTTTTCCTCCGATGTATTTAAGGTGGTATATTTGCCTGAACTGCTCCTGTATCGTTGCCGATAACATTGGAACTAAAATAAAACCTAGTTGGAAACCCTCTGTGGCATCTCAGTTTACTGTTCTTACGCAAACCCGGGTCTGCAGGCCGCGTTCTGAAATGACCTTAAGTTTATTTAGGGGAAGTTCCAACTGTAATCTGCCTGCGGGTTCCTCTTACTCTTGGAAGGACGCTGATACTCTCAGAAGAACAACGGGCATAACTGATCTTTGAGAACCAGAAATCTAGAGTGATTTCTTGACAGATTTCGCTGTAACTCCAAGCCATTCATTTTTCACTTAAAAAGTAATGACTCAGACTGGCCCATCCTAGTTTGCCTTCTGAGAACTTGGTTGGGAGCTTTTCTTTCTGTTTTTTGAAGGGCCCTCAGCAGGGACGAGTCAGCCTCCCTGGCCCACACCTGTCCCCCGGGGCTCTGGCGCCCCCACTCCCTGCACTGAGGTGGGTGGGAGCCTCATCCTTCCACATTCCCGGGCCACAGACTTGGGGCATCATCCTGGACCCCGGTGTCGCTCGCTTCATCCAACCTGTCAGTTCTGGTCTCCAAAATGCCTCTAGACCCTGACCGCTTCCCCGGTCCCTCACAGCCCTTGCTCCGGCCCCGGTCACTGCCACCTAACCCGTCCCCTCTTCCCACCCCTGCCCCGTTGTGCTTGTTTCGAGGCAGCAGGCAGCCAGGGACTTCGCCACAGATTTGAACCAGAACTCAGCTCACGTTACTCCTCTACCCTGGCTCCTGGCCCACCCAGAACAGGCCCGAATCGTCCCGGTGGCCTTTCGGGGTCTGCACTGCCTCCGTCCGCCCCTTGCTCCCTGACACCCTCTGCTTTGGCCATACCGGTTTCTTGCTGTTTGGGACTGCGAGGCACTCACCTTAAGCCTTTGCACAGGCTGACCCTCTGCCTGTTCCTCTGGACGTTGCCACCGCTAATTCTTTAACCTCCAAGCCTGCCGGAACGTTCTCTCGTGGTCTGGGTCTACCCAGACCACCCTATTTAAAATCCCTGTCTCTGCCCCTATTGCCTGGCGCTTCTCAGGCTCCTCACCCTGCGGCATTTGGAATAGATGTGTTTCCTAACAGCCATCCTCCAACACCTAATACTGTTTGTTTTGTGTGTCCACGTGCTAGAACATAAGCCCTGCGAGGCCTGAGGCTTTGTCTGTTTTGTTCACTGGTCTGTGCCAAGCATCTAGCCCAGTGCCTGACACAGAATCAGAACTCAGTAACTACCCGCTGAATTAATGAATCCTGTCCCGGTAACACACATTATCAGCCCTCCGGGGTTGGGAGCCAGGGTTAACAAATGTTCCTGGAAACTTCCTAAAAGTAGGCATGGCACTAGGGGCTTTGAAATGTTCAAATCTCAGCAGCTGGAGGGCTGATGGAGCCTGGATTGGAGCCCAAGTCCTAATTTCCCAAAGCCCAGCGGCTTTCAAACTTTTTTTTTTTTCTTTTTACCCTTACCCACAATTAGAAACATGATGAATGAGCACACACGCGCATAATACGTATAGGGGAAACCAAAAATTTCTGGTCACTCGGTACCCTTTCTCTGTGTATTTTCTCTTCAGCTGCTGTTTGCAATGTACCGAATTGTTCACCAGCTACTCCGAGGTGATGACCCATCTTCCAAGAGGGGTGTTCCTCACTCAACACCGCCTGATTCTCTCTCCCCAGTCAAGACCAGATGCCTGTGGTTTCTCAACCTACCTCATCTGCCCTCTGAGAGTTCTGAGGAATCCCAAGAGGTGGGATTTTCGGTCCTCCAGTAACAACGTCCCTATTTAATCACAAAGTATGTCGCCAGAATGTACCCCTCTTCTAAGGTTGGGCCCTCTTCACAGAGGTCAGGTAAATCCACTCTGTCCTCCAGGACAGAGATCTCGGTCTCTGAGTCAGACTCTCAGGCTTGAGATGAGAACAGCCAACTTTTAATGAGAACTTGGGTGTGTCAGGCGTGTAGACGCATGCACCCAAATCTCCTCAAAAAAATCAGTGACTTCTTTGCCTCCTTGTGCAAATGAGGAATTTGATTAATTCAGCGAAATACTGAGTGCCTGCTGGTGCTAATGGGCACGGTGCAAAGCTTTAGAAGTGGCAGCAATGGATGAAGTGGTTATAACTTCCTGGTGTTTTTAGAGCTGGTATGCTAGCGGGGGAAGGCAGACTGTAGGCCAAACCAATGGAGTCAAAGACATAATGTATCAGAAGATAAGGTCCATGGGGGAAGATGAGTGAGGCAGGGAAGGGCATGGGAGTGAGGTTGGGAAAGGCCTATGAACAGTGCTTCTTGGGCCATTCTAGCACTTCCCCTGGTGCACACAGGGGTGCACACACTTCCCCTGGTGCACACAGGACCCGTTCTGTGGGGCACGTACGCAGGAGACCTGCTGGGCGGGCTGAGCCGGCGCATGGCTTTGCATCTGGATGCTCTTCGTCCTTGCCCACTAGACAGTGTCAGCCCTTTCGAGCTTGGTCTCTCCAGGGGTCTGTAGTGGGCTCAGTTTGCATTTCCGTGGTGACCCATGAGGCCGGGCACCTCTCACACCCCAGTTATCCTCTCTGTCAGGGGTGATGTGCCTCTCCCGTGTTCTGTCCCTCTCCCCGTCT